CTTTAACGGCAACAGAGAATGAAGGATAAGAACCGTATCGAATTCCTCTACTTCTAATCAACTCCTCAATTCGCTCGCGTTCCTTCTTGGCTCTTTCTTGGACATCCACAGTAGCATTATCCGCATAAGCCACTCCCACCAATCCAGATCCAAAAACACCAGCAAAGAAGACCGGAAGCCATGAATAATCCTCGGGCAAGACTCTGGACATCGAAACATCGGAAGAGGAAAACCAAGAAGACGCAAATTCTACAGAAAAAAAAAAACGAAGAATTCACGACGTAGGTTATAAAAATCGCAGCGTTTGAAAAGAAAATCGACTAAAGTAAGTTCTGGAAAATAAAAGAAATAGGAACTTACTGGGATGTGTAGATAGACGTGAGGATCGAGAAGTTAGGGTTTGAAAAGAGGAAAACGAACGCCAATACCAACGCCACGCTCGAGCTGACCTAGCCAAACGCTCCATTGAAGAACGAAGAAACGAAAGTGAATTCGAAGTGAGTACGATAGTATATTTCGTTTACACTACAGGACCGCACAGTGTTTCGTGCTCTGCAAGTTCTTCTTCAACTTTCCCGCTTTATATCTAGAACTTTTATATATAGATAGAGACAGAAACAAGAAATTGAAGAGAAAATAACACAAAGAACGGCATGTCGTGATATTACGGAATTAAAATGAAAACACTCTAATACTGCAAAGCTTATATTAAAGAGTTATAACGTTGTAGAAAATCAAATAATAAGATGAATGATTAAATTAATCAATAATAATAACACTGTGAAAAAAGTAAAAAAAATAATAATGTCTTTTAAAAGTTAAATTTTGTTAAGCCTCTTGTATATGTACCGTATAAATACTTTTAATTTTTATTGTAAAATTTTGTAACTTAACTGTACATGCAAACTCCCTGTATAAAATCTCAAAACAAATTTGAAAGTATAACAAATTGTATAAAAAATGTATAGGAAAAGTATATTACCTTATAACCCATTTTATTAAGATAATATAGCAAGAAGAAGGTATAATACCTTATAAAAAATTTCTATATTTATTATTATTATATTAATAGAAGAAGGTCTTAAGCGATTGCTTTTTAGAACAGAAATATGAATATATCATCGTTTTGGTATAAGTCTTAGACAATTTTACTGCGTATAACATTATATTTTTCAACAAATCCTTCTTTCTATAATATTTTATAAGAAAGTTAATAAAAATTAAATTTACTTAAAATTTTAAAACATATATAGGAGAAAAAGCATTCGATATTTATCGCGTAAAATAAATAAAAAGATTCTTAGGATGATGTGGTGACGGAATTATAATTTTTTAATTTATATATGGGGATTATTTGTGATACTTTGAATTAAATCTTCAATAATAAAGATATATTCTTAATTTAATTGAAATATATTAATAAAATATATTCAATAAATATCTTCTTCTTTGTAGTTTTCTTGAATTTAAATTTAAAATTTTTGTCTCCCTCTTACTTTAGTTTGACCGAATGAAGCATTGCAGATGGGTTCAATTATTACTCACCACTCACGCAGCTTCCCTGTTTGTATGGGCGTCTACTGGCAAAGCCAAACATAAATCAGATAAGAGATTTGGAACTTTGAATCAGAAACATATACCTTCAGGACCAAATCATGGTACATTTATAATACTACACTTCTCCAATGCAATTTTCACTCAATTTAAGCACACTACGTGTTTGAAGCTTCTTCTTGTGTAATTAACACGCATTAACTAAAATATTAGTTTCTCTCAGCAAACAAAAAATTTTGATCCATCTCTCACGATGTTGGGAAAAGGAAAGCCGGATATAGTTTTCGACAAAAAGTTACTTTCGGCACCACACCTCCTTTTCTTTTATCATCTCGATATTTCAAAGTTATTATACAGATTAAATTTTATCATTGCATATTTTATTCACAGTTATCATTTAATTTGAACAAAATATTAGTACAGCTTAGGTTAACATATTTTTTTTTATATATATCATTTGCTTGTTCATCTTCTCTTGGCTCTATTACTTCTGGCGTCAATATTTGATAATTAATTTTTTGTAAGCAATTACTTTTCCAAAATTATATTTTTTTTCTCTCTAGAAATTTGAGAAATGTTTTTTTTTTCATTCATATCTTTCCGGATAGAAGGCAAAACGCTTTAGGTTAAAACTGTTCTTTAAAATATTATCTAAGTAAAAAAATGTCCTGATATTCAGACAATCTATTTTGAGTTATCACATTAATACTAAGAAGAAGAACACAACTGCCTAGTATTTATCCGGAGTACTCAAGCAACAGAGTTCCTTTTTAAAACACAACTCCTAATTTAAGTAAATAAGAAGTCAAAACAATTATTTATCATAAATGTCATGAATATCATTCAAGCTATAAGTATAGGTTTATTGATAGAAGGAAGGAGAATCGTAGTTAATTGTGGCTATTACTTCTTGCACCAGATTCCTATATCCTAAAATTTTTTAATTTATTTTTCTGAACATATTAAAAAGGATTGGAATTTTTTCTTATACAATCATTTTACTTTATCTTGACGCTATAATAATCAATCAAACTCGTATAGAATAAAATGAATAGTAGCAAAAGATCTTAATTGAAGTTTTTTTTTTCAAAACGCAAAAGAGGTTAATATTTTATATATTATAGAGTGAAATTCATTGAAAATTACTTTTCAAGACAATAAAAATTTTCAAAACAAAAAAATTACTAAAGTGCATGTCTCTAATGAGATGGTCCATAATCATATGTTTCATTACTTTATAAATGTTTGAAGTGTTTCGTGACAGGATAAAGTTAAATTAATTGTCTCATGCTTATTCCATTTATAAATTAGCTTATCTTGTCTTTTGTTTGTGTTTTTTCTTGTTTATTATCTTATCTTTGTTATAATTATCATTATTTAGTGTCAGCAAATGAATAAAGAAAGTAACCATACATTTGTAGATTGTGATGATGTTGCTCTTTAGTCCCTGTATTATCTTTTGTTCTGTTCAGTACCTATAGAAAAATCAATTTATGATTTGATTATGTCATAATGTGTTGGAGTTGTAGATTGGGCAATGTCATTGTTATATGTTAACATCTTTCCATAACTATAATAGAAATTATCCAATACATAAATTATTTGTTTTGAAATATTAACTACGTTATACTTTCTTTTAATATAATCACTCAATTAAAGGAGATGTTGCCATCATCAATAATATTAATATTTATCTAGATAAACATGAAGTATTACATTTACATTTCATTCTCAAAGAAAAAGAAAAGAAGTGTTAGTGAAGAACATGTTTTAAAGATAAAACATCTAACAATTTATATTGAATAAATGTTTAGGATTTTAAATTCATAATAATATATTTTAAAATTATTTCACATATTTATTTAAATATTTCCCCTAAAATGAACACATCTATGTATAAACAATAATAACTATATTGAATGAGTGTTTTTATTGAAAAGAGTATTTTTATATTTTTTTTAAACTGTTTTATCTCTTTAAATTTATCTGACCGTTTTTAAATTAAATTCTAATATTTTCAAAAGAAATTTCCAATCAATAAAATATCTTTAATTATTTTATATTTTAATTATAATATTTTTTAAACCGTAAACTCTAAACTTTAATAATCTAAAATAAGCATTTATCTTGCACATCCGGTTTAATTATTAAATTTGTTATTTAATCCTTATATTATATATATATATATATATATATATATTTATTGCTTCTCCTATAAAATCTATTTTTCTCTTCTTTTTTCAATTAACTCACTTTTCTTTTTCTTTAAATCTTCTCATTCTCACTTTCGTACACACTGACCTGGCGCACAACTTTACGAACACGAGTTTGATTTTTTTAATCATGATCTCATTGTAAGTTTAAATTATCTATCCTTACACTATATACCTTGAAAATATCCCTATTTTAGACAGGAAACTATTCTATTCACTTTTTCAATTAAAAATTATAAAAATTATTAATTTTACCTTCTTGCGAAGAGCATTTCATGCATCATCCAGCAACTATTAGAAAGTATTTTTCAAAATTTATATTTCATACCATTATTCTATTATTATCTTCAAAAAATTACTATGGAGTTATTCTTCTCCTTTCATTTTTAAATCTAATAATTAAAACCAGTTACCGATTAGATTTCAATAACAAATTATTAGAATGAAAATAAATCATTTGGGAAGTAACTTAATTCCGTATGTTTACAGGGGTTAAAATAAGTTCATTTGTTCCATCTTTTTGGTGCATTTAAATCTAAGAAAAAACATTGAACCCGTACAAAACCACTATAAAACATGCTTACTTTACATTCATCATAATTCCAAAAAATTAGTGAGAACTCAAAGTGCAGTATACACCCATTTTAGAACAAACAAACATGGTGATTTTTCTTTCACCCACAATTCATCCCAGAGGTAATCATTATTTCAGGGGAAGCTCTTCCATAAATTAAAACTACTTGAATACCAACTTCTCTGTCATTTTAATTTTCTTTTCATTTTTCAGGGACTGGGTATCAGCAACAATGTCAAACTCAAAAGCACCCAAAAGCCTATCAATCCAACTTATGCCATGCCATGCATGACAGCAAAGATGCAGAAATAGTTGCTGACACAACTGTAAAGAGCATTCATTTCTTTCAACAATCATTAACACACCCTTTGGTTAAAAGGCCTCTCCCAACCCAACCGCATTCAAAATCCTTCTCAACAATTTCTCCCTTTCCCTTTGAGATGCCATTCAGTGGATCATAAACGATACATGAAAATTATTCAAGCAAATTTTATCTATCATCCACATTATAACATCCACCTCAGACAAATTTCACTATAAATTATTGTTGTGCTTTGTGTTCTAGCGGTGTGAAAACATGACATAAAAAAGGCATGAGAAAACTAAGAACAGCAAAAAGTTACACAGGAAAGTCCAAACTGAACTTAAATAATAATATATAATATAATAGTAAATACATTCTGATAAAGCATTTCAGATTACACGAGGAAGAGCACAAAGGAAAAGATACCATTTACGAGCTATGACATGAACGAATCTAATTTCAACTCCTAACCTCTGTAAGTCAGAAAGAGATACCTTTTTTGTTACATACAAAGTCACAAAATGAAAAGAGAAACTATAGCTTTCCGTATACGAAAATCTAAATAAAACCCCCAAAAAAAAACAACACTAATTATACAACTTATGGCGCGGTTAAAAAGTAACACTAGTGAGAAGTTACTACGCATTTTTTGGTGAAGAGGTTGCGAAGGTTAAAAATGTTACCCCCACTTCCTCCATCATTGCCTCCACTGTTACTATTATGAGTATTATTATTATTAGTAGTAGTACTACTGTTACCGCTGGTGAGGATGCCGCCGCCACTGACACCCACGGCGCTGTTCTCGTCGCTTCTGCAGCTCAGGTGGTGCCTGTAGCCAATGCACATGGGGACGTTCAGATTCAAAACCCTCGCGGTTCCTCCTCCGCCGGTGACTTTGCTTCGGCGAGATTTAGGAGGGTCGGAGGTTTTGCGGCGGACCTGCCAGACGGGGCTGCTCCGGCCTACGTGGACGCCGGCCCGGCCAGGACTGCTGGGCCACTTTCTGGACTTGGACTCGCCGGCGGAGTTGCTCCGGGAGCAAGGTGCGCTGTTTACCTTCCGGGTCAACGGAGCTCCGGCGAAGAGCTTGGGTCTGGTACCCGCATTTCCCGCGGACCTGCTCCGGGAGAAGGGCCATATGTTGATGTTCAATTCCGCGGAACTCGCTGAAGTGCCACTTTTTCTCTCTCTCTTTTTCCCTTTCTCTTTGTCTTCGGTGTTTTCCGTGTTTTTCTTATCGGTCTTTCTGAAAATGTCCCTCCAGCGTTTGGAGGCGGACGAGGAGGTGGTGGGTTCGGTTAAAATGGAAGGGGAAGGTTCTGGGTCGGGGGGTGAACCAGGTTCGGGGTCGGGTTCGTGGATCGGAGGTGTAAAGGTGGAGGCTTTGGGAGAGGGGTGTGGTTTGTTTGGGAGGAGGTGGAGGGGGAGAAGGACGCCGTCGACAAAGAGCTCATCGGCGGAGAGAAGGTGAGGTTGAGGGAAAGAAGGGTTTCGGAGCATCCAGAACTCGAATTCCGGTGAATTACAGTTGGTGGCGTTGGGAGAGAGAAGTGTTTGTGGTTTGTCCATGTCTGTGTGTTGAGAAAGTTGTGTTGTGTTGAATTTATGGCGTTTTGCAGCGGTGGGTGAAGGTTCTTGTGTTGTGATGTTAAGATGAGAGGATGAAGAGAGAGAAAGAGAGAATGAGGCATTAAAGAAAGAAAGAGGGGAAAGGGATGGCATAGATTTTAAGGGAGGGTATTGGGGTCCATTGAGTTGGAAGGAGCATGTGCCATACAATTTGGTGTTTGGAGTGTGTGTGTGTGCATAATAATCACTTCCTTATGCAGCTTTATATCTGCCTTTCTTCGCCAATCACCGAGGAAAACAAAAGATAATGGTGGATATGTGTGGGGTGCACATGCTATATACCCTCTAATTCTAATGCCTTCATTCTCTTCTATATTAATCACCTTTGCTTACTCTCCTACTGCTAAAACACCTACAGTAATACAAAGTCAATAAGTTTATAATCCAAATTGAAAGATAGTACGTCATGCATGAACAGTCATTAACTTCAATAAAACCTCTTTAAGATGATTAATTATAACTTTTTTCAATTTGGTACAGTTTCCTATTCACCGAAATCGCATTTAATCAGCGGTTGAGTATTCATAAAATGGTGTAGTTATGCTGATTATTTACTAAAACACTTGAATATCACTGAATCACTTTCCAGACATGGTTACCAAAGTGCTTAATTTACGAAGACGTTAGAACGTTAATGGTAGGAAAACTTGAATTTTGGTGTGATCCACAAAGGTTGACGCAGATGATTGCGTAAGATAGTAGTGTGTTTTCAGCACTAACTCGTTGATACCAACCACTCGAGAATAAATAAGAAATGATTAAATGTTGTTGAATTATGACAAAATTATTGTTTAACTCTTTCCCTTCATTCCAATCTCTACCACACGAAGGAATGGTTTTATGGCTCCCAAAATCTTGTTAAATCTCACTTTGATTGAGAAGGAACAAGTTCAAGAAATTATTGCAAAAAGGAAAGTAGAACAACAGTTAGGTTACTAATATTACAAGTCTTTTAGACATGACGTTGAACCAATTTTTTCTACACATTAATAATTCAAAAAAATAATAAATATTTAACACCAATAATATAAGATAGCCTGTAGAAAAAACATGTCAGAGTAGACTCTAAGAAATTCAATCTTACTTTAAAATCTCTGTATATATACTATACAAATTAAAAAAAATACTTATAATTTAAAAATTTTGGCATATTTAAACAAGGTACCTCTTATTCGACCCAAGATTTGGAAATATATACTTCGAAGTTAGACAAGTTAGGATGCAACGATTTGAAATAAGTTATCGATGGATGTTATACACGACTGTGGATTAAAAAAATTGTTTTTATTTTCGTAAAAAAATATAATTAAGTTATAAATGATTTTGTTATAGATAAATTTTACGTCATATACAAAAAGTATTTATTTTTAAAACGAACTTTATGTTATATTAAATTTCATTAAATTTTTTAAATGAATGAACCAACTCAACAAGGAAGTCTCCCAATACTTCTGTAAAATCCCTCTTGAGAAAATACTAACCTTATGTTTGGACGGAGAAATTTTAGACGATGTCTCCGTTTCTTCATATACTTGTTTTTTTTTAAATCTCAGTTAATATATTTTTGGAAGTCATTAATTTGACCAATGTTAAAACGTTATTAACTCGATTTCATTTTGTCAACTCGTGTAAGAGATGTTTCTTTTATGCCCGGTCAATTATAACTGTTTTTCGACCGTGAGTTCTAATGTAAATATTATTATTTTTTAATTAACATTAGTTAGGTTTTATTTTCAAACACACACAAAAAGAAAATTATCATGTCGAATACGATTTTTTTAATTAACATCAACAAATGTCATTTATTGTTGGCATGAATTGAAATTATTTTATATCAATGTTAACTAAGATTTTTTTTATTAAAATAAAAAAATATATTTTTCAACAATATCAATTAAAATATTTGTATTGATGTTAATAAGGTTTTTTTAACCATAATAAGTGAATTTTTTCAATTAATATTAAAGTTAATTAGTTTTTAATTAACATTATTGAGATTATTTGTTTCTCGAATCATATTGCTTTCCAGTAAATGTCAACCATGAAAATTTAGAAAGTGAAATTACCTTAATCAATCACTTACCGGAGCTAACTTATTTTAATCTCTTTGTCTAATTATGATACCGAATCTAGTTTTGAAACAAGATAATGTGTTCATAACTATGGTCCATAAAATAGTGATGTTATGTAATTTCAAGATATCTATATATTATCAGAGCCAACTTCTAGCATACAAATCAATAATAACTCGTATATACGATTTCAAGCCGACATCCCGAAATTCAAATATATATTTGTTGCGTTACCTTCGTATAATGAAACATATATATAGTGACACGGATATTAATAATTTTTTGTTTCTTTAGTACAAGGAATACTGATGTTTTGTTGGTTATATATTTGTAATTTGTAATGAATGGATTATTTAAGGAGAGTGGAATCACACAGGATGAATTAGAAAGCTCATGATGTATAAACATGTAAGTGTTGACTTTCATCTCTATTATTACACTCATGATCATGATGCTCTGCTAAAAGCTTCGTTTCCATTTTCTATCTTAATCACATGAAATCAAGCTTTTTCAGCTTCATAGTCCCTCGTCATTACCTTCTTTATAGATGTCTTTATCACAATTTAATCATTAATCACTTCCTAATTAAATTATCCTTACCCCACAACAAAATTTTTAACACGTAATTGGAATTTTCTACCTTCGAAGTGTTATTATTCCTGTATCATTAGATGTTTTTAATTAAAGTGCTTTTTAATCTGGGTTTGGTTCACACCATCATCAATAATATATCATTTGTCAGGTTCGCTTATCACTATTTTTTTGAAAAGAATATCACAGTCACTGCTTTTTCAGTAACAATCCATTATTAATGCATTTCACGTATTTAAAATATATATCTGTTCATAAGTGAATCTGGAACCAAATAGAATAACAATAAACGGATTTGAACACTTCCATGAGAGATGAGAAAGTCGATGAGGTTTTAGTGGCATGGTTAAATGTCTTTTTCTAGTATAATCATTAGAAAGATGTGATAGGTTAAGCTGTCGTTTTCACTATTGTATATATTTATGTATTTTTTTTCTTAAATAATTTCTTTGGTTTATTGAGTCTTCAATTATTAATTTTTAATTTCGACAATAAAATAAGTTTAAATTTAGCTTTCGAATTAAGCTTATGGATTAGAAGTTTGAGATTTTAAAATCACTAGTAACATTTTATGTATAATAAATTGTTAAATATAGACGTAAAAGGGAATACATTCAATAAACTATTTATTGATTTTTTTATTTTCTTAGTATATTCTGTGACTCTGAGTCAAACTTACATGTTACGCTTGTTTCCATAGCTCAGGTTGACTACGAAGATTTATAATTTTTTTAATAAAATATTCTACTTACTCTCAAAGTCAAAAGGAGGGAATACTGTAGAAAATATAATTACCATGGGTAGTGATGGGTGTAAAAACGTTGAGAGCAGCCCAAGATAAACGGGCCGACAAAGAAGCCCGTTATAACGGTGTGGGCCCAACTGAAGGACTTAACGTACAGGTGGCTGCAGACTAATGAGGATGTGTGGGGTCATAGATGTGAATTTCTGGAAAAGGATCTTATGTAACTTTTTTTCAAGTTTGCTGAATTATCTAAAGCTCAGACATACTCAAAAGAATAACCTAATACATGTCAGGAAGATCAAGCGATATTACACAGGATAAACCATTAATTATTTAGCAATATTTATTTATTTTGAAGGAAATTTTAAAAGTAATTTAATGCTACAAATGATAGAATATTATATTTAGATGGAAATTTTGACGGTGAAAGATAAAGTGAGAATGGTAGAAGAAAAGAGGAACGGTGTTGAGTTGAGGTTGTTAACAAAAAATGATTGTGGCCTGTGTGGACGAATTCAAACAGTATTCCATCAATGAATGTGGCCCCCACTTCAAACTTACCTTTAGTTAGTTTTTTCTTTATTTTTTTAATACCATTTAATATATATATATATAGATATAGA